TTTTCATAATCTATCACTATGACTATAAACGTTTTGTGTATAAAGTAATTAATCAATCTATTGAGTACTCAATTTACTCACGTGTATTTTACACATAAATTTGTATTCGATCAATATATTTTACATGAATAAGCAGTGGTGTACTTTATCAATTCGTTTTCTTTTTTTGTATTGATATCGAATTAAATAGAAAATTCATGGTGATGTGAGACTATGTTCTTTTGAGAAAATAAACACTACTGAACTAATAACTGTTTAAATAGTTGAGATCATGAGTCAATTGAAACTGAACCACCATGGAAAATCTGAAAGCATTTGGATGGCCGTTTCGTCCTATTGTGGGACTCCTCAGTAGTGCGTATCCACAAGTCCACCTCGCGAGATTCGAACCCAGGACCTATAAGTTTCGCAAGCGAACCCTTAACCTCTAGACCACTGAACTGGCATCAAATGGTGTTAACGTTTAACTTCAATTAATAATTATTTGATAATTTATATGGCATAGAATCAATAATCAGAAATTAAATTACTTTATTCTTTTGTTTGTTGAAGGTAAAAAGTTTTGAGTTGATTAAACGTATATTTTAATAATTTCCGTAACTAACAAAGAATTATTCAATCACATTTCAAATCAGAACTTTATAGACCAATTTAAAATTATCTTATATCTGTGTCAGAAGTATTTGTTTTACTTCAAAATGTTTGAGATCATATAAATCAAGATATGAACGTGACAGATGCCTAGATTACATCTCTTCTTTCATGTTATTGATTGATTAACCAATTTTATTCATTGTAGTCTAGGTATTTGATTATGTCATTATTTATTGAAAAGCAATCACTTATAGTTTTCAGTTTTCTAAAATGAATCTAATATTTCTAATGAAATATACTTTAATAAGTGTTTTCAGTATCTTGATTGTCTTTTATGTTCAAAGATTTAGATTCATCGAACTAAGAATTGACTGAAATTAAGTGAGCATTAAATATTAGATAAGTATACTTAAATCTTTACTCACAAAACGTTTTCGAAAAACAACAACCATGGAAATTAGTGAATGATAAAAAAGGGTGAAAAAGTAATCTTTAGAAAGGGAGCTTCATTAAGTCCATGTGAGATATCTACACTAAACATTCTACTAAATTCATTTTTAAATGTGGAGTATTGATTCGACAAACAATTAACAAATCATACATGAATCTGAGTAAACAGGGGTATAATAGTAGAAAAAGTGTTTTGTATACTGGTAGGTTATTTGATAATATCATAGTAAGCGGTTTCTACATATATTTTTAATCTAATAACCGAAGTGAAGTTGATGTTTTCAACAGACGATATTGATTACTTTTATTTAAAAGAGATTCAAGGGAATTTGTGGAGACTTCATATATTATGGAGGTAGTCTTCATGCATATTGATAGATGAAGAATCATTGAAAAATAGAAAGCAGTAGGCAAGTATTTCAATCTAGCAGGAGACTCTTCAATTGTGTGCTACCACAGTACGATGTGGGATTGAACCTAAGACTTCCTGAGGTGGACATAATATCCTTAGCTAATTGAGTCAGAATTCAAAGATCCGCACTGCTAAATAATCATTTTCTTTTTAAGACTCTGTTTGGATTTTTATTATCAAGCTACTTCATAGATTCATGACACCACTATCCAGTGATCACAGATATTTAAATTTCGTTCAACTTATGTCAGTTGTAACAAAAACCACATTCGAAAGATCCGTATGAACATAAACAGTTTTTCTTCACTATAATGTGGAAAATTTTAACCAAACTAATTTGTCTATAAATGATGTTATTCCATTATAAGATCGAATATACCTCTGGTTTTGTTTAATTATAATTAAAGGCGAAGCAATATATAAGCGCCTCTTACATTCTGTTCTGGATAATGTCTCTTTGCGTAGTTATATCATTTCATATAATTAACTGTTCTGATAAATTCATAGTAGAACATAAAACAATCCATTATTCATGTACTAATATTTGCTTTCTACAAATATGACTGACATACATATTGTTTATTGAAGAAAATACCATATGAAATAAATATCATGCCAAATAATTGTCTTATATAGACAGGGGAATGATGTTAAGTACTCATACATTATTTTTTTTATTTCAAATATACTCTGCTAAAACCGAATTTCATTTGAAAGGGTGAGATGTTATGAAATGATTGTAGAAAAGTTTGTTAGAACCTATCGCTTAAAACTTATGTTGTTTTTAAGAGGTTAACATCAATTGAATATAACCATAGAGTTGAAATGATAAACAATCTAGGTAGCTTTAAATAGTTTTTGTGAATGAAATCAGAATAACATTCACCAGGAAAAATCACAAGTAGGTTGTTTTTAAGCACAAACTTCTTACTAGTCGTGACTCAACAGTAAGGTTACTCTCACGTCCTTTAGAAAATCGGTTTATTTTTGGTGCACAAGTTTGAAATGGTACATCTGGAAACAATGGAGTGATAGCTGGTATCTTAAGTTAAAATCTTTTATCTGGGGAATTAACCGGTTTAGGTAAAACTTTGGCAAGTTGGCCAGCAGAAATGAGTAAGCAAAAATTTTAAAATAAAACAACAATAATGCTACTCATCAATCACTTCTGTTATTCAGTCTAGTTCTGAAAGTGCCTGAATGTAATTTGAATAAATAGAAACGACCCCGACAAAATCGCTGAATGATCGAGATAAGAATCTGAGAAGTAAAGATGGTTTCCAAAATGTGATAGATAAGTTTTTCAGATTTGTACTAGGATACATCTAAATTGCTGCACTTAGACAAAACACGAAAAACGATTTTATTTAATGCTATTCTTTGAGACTATATTTTCTGTGAACAACCACTTTTTTTTGGAAATTTCATTATAACGTTTTCGATCATGACTAATTAGTTAGGTAACTTGTTAGGATTTATGTCAATTTTATTATGATGACGGTGTCCTAAAGTGTCTTCTCTTCAATATATTTCGAAAGTGACTTCTATCAAGAACTGAGTAATGCCACATGACAAGTGTGGAATATTGACGCTTTTATATCCAGTTATATTTATTCACTTTTAAATCTGACAATAATCGACAAAGAAAATGGTTTTTATCCATAGTTACTCGATGGTGTTATGTTCTTTCATGTCTAGAAAGATAACAAAAGCTTCACGACCCGACTATCGAACTCAGCTCTAAAATCTTCATCCTTCAGTACGTATTAAAGCTACAATGAATAACTTAACTATTACGTCCGCATTGCAAACTAACAACATAAATCATGGAGCTATGGCGAAAATATTTAAAATTATAGCCAACCATTCAAATGATTAAATCTTCACACTACTGAGGAGTCCTGTACTAGGACGAAACGGCCGTCTGGTGCTTCTAGGTTTTCAGTGGTGGTCTAACATTGATTGATTCATGGTCTCAATCACAAACCCATACTCAATTCTATTAATTAAATTCCATTTAAGCATCCTATTTTAATTTTTTGCAGTTGAAGTCAGTATTTAGGAAGTTTTAAACCTAGATTTCTTGCTAATTGTTACTAGACAGCAACACAGAATTAGGATATTATTGGAGTAAATACTCACTCAGCTATCTAAATCAATGTCACAAAAATGATCAATGTAAACTGCACAGAAACCTTGTTAGTAGGTGATAATGATTTTTCTAGTTATTTAATCTTCTCTTATTTACCGTCGACTAACTTAGATAAAAATAGAAGCAGATGTGAAAAGGATAAATAACAACTGGAAAGAGCTGGAAAAGATTTCACAGGACAGGGTTAGATGTGCAGTGCTGGTTGGCGGCCTAAGCCCCTCAACGAGGAGTAACAGGCGTAAGTAAGTAAGTAACTTACATAAAATACTGAAAGGTAGGAAATGACAAAAGGTTGTAGACTTCAAAATGGTAAAATAATGCTTACTAACGATTGTGATTGAAATCACCACAATAAATTGATTATTTTTGTGTAGATAAACTCATGTAAAAGTTTTCTTCAAAACATGTAAATTCACCCTAGAAGTATGATATTCATATTTTCAGTTTAATCGAAACACTCTGTGAATGAAATAGATTTTTATGAGTAGCTTAACAAATAAGTAAATGAATACCATAAAGAGTGAATGTACAAATTCAACTATGAATCACTTTCGCTTTTATTTACAATCACATTAAATACATATTGGTTCGACTGACTAACTCTATTCTAAATATTGTTTGTTTGATCAATCATTAGAGAATGTAAGTCCTTGAGAGATTTACAAGCTTTCTTTGATCCCACCGCATTAAAATAAATCAAATCAGAATACATTTCATTCTGTCTTTATAATGATCACAATTATATACTAGTTTTTAACATATATATTCATTAAAAATCATACTTTTCGAAGCATAGTAAAATGTCTTATTGTTATTAACTAAGTGCTTCAATCATTCGTTTTGTTTTACCTGTAACCCTAATATGAATATTTCTGCAAGACTATTGAATGCATATTCGTTAAATAAACATAAATACCAAGATGTTACCAATTGTCTGTAAATCTTCATAAGATAACTGACTAGTGTTTTACAGTTTGTAGTTATTGTCTAAAATAATTAAATTATTCAACATTTCTGACTATAAGTTCTATTGATATATCTAACTCAGTTAAGAATGAAGAGGATCTAGAAGCTTCATAATGTGAAAGAAAGTAATGGATCATTTAAGTGTTTATAAATCTATATAAACCAACTATCAAAGAGTTATAGTCAATATTGTTCGCTGTTTTGAATGTTTATTTATACTTTTAAAGAAAATAATTATCAGTAGTTAAGAGTAATTTACTTATCTACCATTTAATGCCCTATTAATATAATTATCAGGAATCTTAAGAATTCATCATCTGCTCAATAATCATATCTACTCAACCAACTATCATCATTTCTTTTTAAATATTACTAGAATATATGCAATATAAAATATATCAAATATAATTTATTGTAATAACTTACAGAACAAGCATGGATAAGACCCGCATGTTCACCAAATATAACTCCATACATCTCTGGCATTGCAATTGGAGTCCAATGACAATGAGTACACATTTCTTTAAATTTATAAATAAATTTCATTCATTCTTTTTTTTTTCTCTCTTCAATTGATTATAGACAAATAAAATCAACACCAATGACAATAAATCAACTGAATAACCTATCACGTAATTTATCAAACACTATTATAATGAATTGACATAATGTATATTTCTATGATTAACTATATATAAAAGAGATTTATCGGTTGTATTCTAATATGTTGTAGTAAAATAAAAGAGTAATTCATTGTATTTTATGTGCAAATGATAATAATCAATTAATAGTTAGTAAAGAAGAAGAAAAAAACACACTTTCCATTGTGATACTCATTGATATAGTAACAGGATACTTAAACAACCAATCATAAATGAATGAAATCAATGTGATCGATCACGTGCGTTTTTATAAAGTTCACATGTATATTTGTATGTATCTAAGTTACTTTACATATTACTTATTATTAAAAGAAAAGAAGGAACAATTGACAAATTTTCGATGTGAACAAAATTATTGATGAGTTTTATTAGTATGAATGAAAAATCTGTTTGTTTGTTTGTTTTTCATTGATAAAATGGAGTCTCTCCGGGGTCTACTGCCGGTCCCATGCCCGAGTAAAGAAGGAGGGTTGGGGATAGGCTTAGCGACCCCATTCCGTAGAAAAATAACTCGCTGAAAAAACGCTAACCAGGAAAAATTATTAAAACCTATCATATATTATACTACTTATTAATAATATGTATCCACAACTTTCACTATACTACTGATCCATGTATTATTTTCAGTTATATTAACAGGAGATTTCTTAAAACACATTACAGTCAAATTATTTGGTTGGAAAGTTTAAGATAAATTGCCTATCAATTTATACTGTATGTATGAAGGAAATAAAATTTACGAGATAATGTGAACAGAGAAACAAGAAGCCTTAACAAACTACGGACGTTATTTCATTTAATTCATAGCTTGTAAAACAGTAACATTTATTTTTGTCTTTTAGTCTATTCTACAGATCATAAGCTTTCGTTTGATGTATAATTCACTGATATAGCCCTTTTTGTTCCAAAGCTATTGTAAATTAGACGTATTATTTTATACTCTATTTTCTACGCCAATCCTCAGTTTTGGATATAATTGTATTTTCTTAATCATTGTACGTTGTGGTCGGCTTAGTCATCTATGTATTTATGTAACTTTTTACATTGATCGGAATTGGGAATAAATCAAGTAGTTTTCTAGTTGACTTGTCGTCTCCTCACTCGCGTGCTTGTCAGATAATTAGGTGATAGAATAGTTTTCTTCTCCCTACCCCGCTTCGAACTCACGCTTACTAGCCTCAAGGTTATGCCAGTCAGCCTATCTCATCAAGGTCTTAATCTAGATTAGACAAGTATCCTCTGCATAAAAGTGAGTAGACAGATCAAGGACGTAACACGAGATATTTATATTTTCACTGAATGGAAAAATTAAATTAATGGTAATGTTTACTTTTTCTATATCAAAGACAACTTAATTATTTGTTAATTTTCATCATTGACTGATATCATCTGGAGAATTGTTGAAGATCAGAAAAAATTTCATAGGAGTTTTGTTCTAACTGGAAACTTCCCAGTTGTACTGGTTTAATATCAAAACATAACATTTCAAACAAGATGCTATTGTTACCTTTAGTCCATTATGAATCCATTTATTCGTTCATATTTTAATACTTTTTCATACTCATTTTATATAATGCTCCTTATAGAAAAATAGATAATATTTGTTTTAATTCTTATTCTGAATTTGATACAGTTCAAAGTACTATTTTACCCCCCCAATTCACTTGTCACGCATATTTTTGACTAAAAGTTGTCAAAAAATTAAATGCTGTGTATTTTGGTATAGTCTAAGGTGCTATTTTGAATAATGTCAACGATAAATTTTTGTTGAGAATGTCAAACTTAGTAAATCCTTACGATTACATATAAACAGTTGATTTCTGAGTGATATCTAAACATTTTAAACTTGGGAAGTGATAATTCATTGATTGATGTGTGTCTCAATGTTTCTTACGTAAACAAATGTATTGGAAAATTGAGATTTCGAACCTAATTCTACTTAGTTTGGTTCAGTCAATTATGTAATAAATGACGTTTCCATTCATCTGTCACTTCAGGTTTACTGCACAACCTTAATTACTGATTGGATACGGATATTCACGATCCTAGTTAGGTTTCACCGAGTGCAATTCAATCAAACGCTCAGTGATATCACTATTTGGAATAGAGTCTATCATCATCATATTCGGTGGCAGTACAATATATTCTTAAGAGAAATATTTGTTTTCATATATGATTCTGTAAAGATTCGAACAATTTATGTATGATTTTCATTCAGTGTCACTGTTAAGTGACTTTCACCATCAACAGTTGTTTCATAGAACATGTATCCACTCCCCATAACACGAATAAACTTTGGTTACAAATGGTAATCATCAGAATTCGAATCAGTAGTCGTGCTCACAGTCAAACTCAAAGATTTAATGTCCAAACAAATTTGATTATCATAGATGAATCATACATGATCACTATAGTGGTCAACAACACATGCTGTTATCTGTCGGTGAAGAAAATCACCTTAGAAATATCTATCTGTAAATTGTATTTAATAATATGTCTTTCAGGTGAGATAATTTTAAATCGTCATCTTTCAAACTGTGTGTAAAACTACTAGGATTAGGCAAAAATACATTTAACTCCGCCTGTAGCTCGTCTAGAGTTACTGCCTGTCCCATGCCCGAGTAAAGAAGGAGGGTTGGGCATGGGGTTAGCGACCCCATCCCGCAGAAAAATAAGTTGCTAAAAAACGCTAACCAGTAAAAATAATTCAAACCATTTAAACTCCGCCCTGAGAGTTAGGTCAAAACAAAGAAGGAGGGGATCACAATGAATATCATTCCATGTTATGCACCCACCAGTGACAGCAACGACGATATTAAAGATCAATTCTATGAGAGGCTGCAATCAAACATAGAGAAGTGCCCAAGAAACGACCTCACCATTCTGATGGGAGATCTAAACGCCAAAGTCGGAATAGACAACACCGGATATGAAGATATCATGGGACGAAATGGACTGACTGGGAGAGAGAAACGAAGATGGGAAAAGATTTGCAAATTTGTGTGCATTCTACAAATTGGTCATAGGCGGCACAATATTTCCACACAAACGTGTATACAAAGCTACATGGATCTCACCGGACCACACCACAGAGAACCAGACAGATCATATTTGCATCAATAAAAAATTCCGAAGGACAATGGAAAATGTGAGAACCAGGAGGGGTGCTGACATAGCTTCAGATCACCACCTAGTTGTAGCCAATTTAAAACTGAAGCTGAAAAAGAACTGGACAAGTGGACAAACAGCACTACAAAGGTTCAATACAGCCTTCCTTCGAGATACTGACAAACTCAATGAATTCAAGATAGCACTCAACAACAGGTTCCAAGCCTTACAGGATCTACTGAAGGAAGAAGAAACTACTATGGAGGACAACTGGAAAGGCATCAAAGAAGCATTAACTTCAACGTGTCAAGAGGTTCTGGGCCTAAAGAAACACCATCATAAGGAATGGATCTCTATAGAAACACTGGACAAGATCAAAGAAAGGAAGAACAAGAATGCAGCAATTAACAACAGCCGAACACGAGCAGAGAAAGTCCAAGCACAAGCTGAATACATAGAAGCAAACAAGCAAGTGAAGAACAGCATTAGAGCCGACAAGAAGAAATACGTGGAAGAACTAGCGACGACGGCAGAAAAAGCTGCTAGAGAAGGAAATATGAAACAGCTTTACGATACAACGAAGAAACTAGCAGGGAAATACAGTAAACCAGAGACCGGTCAAAGACAAAGAAGGCAAGCCAATCACTGAAATTCAAAAACAGCGTAACAGATGGGTAGAGTACTTCGAGGAAATCCTGAATAGGCCAGCTCCAATGAATCCACCAGACATCGAAGCAGTGCACACAGATCTTCCTATATATGTCAATCCATCAACGACGGAAGAAATCAGAATGATCATCAGACAAATCAAGAGTGGGAAAGCAGCAGGACCCGACAACATACCAGCTGAAGCACTGAAATCAGACATCGAAGTAACCACAAACATGCTTTACCTTCTATTCAAAAAGATTTGGGAGGAGGAACAAGTGCCGATGGACTGGAAAGGACACCTCATCAAGATTCCGAAGGAGATCTGAGCAAATGTGAAAACTACAGAGGAATCACACTACTGTCAGTACCAGGGAAAGTCTTTAACAGAGTGTTGCTGAACCGGATGAAAGATGCAGTAGACGCCCAACTTCGAGATCAACAAGCTGGATTCCGTAAGGATCGGTCGTGCACAGACCAAATTGCAACACTACGGATCATCGTCGAACAATCAATTGAGTGGAACTCGTCACTATACATCAACTTCATTGATTATGAAAAGGCATTCGACAGTGTAGATAGGAGGACATTATGGAAACTTCTTCGACACTACGGAGTTCCTGAGAAGATTGTCAGTATTATCCGGAACTCATACGACGGACTACAGTGCAAAGTAGTGCATGGAGGACAGCTGACAGATGCATTCCAAGTAAGGACTGGAGTCAGACAAGGCTGTTTACTCTCTCCCTTTCTTTTTCTTCTGGTGGTCGACTGGATTATGAAGACCTCGACATCCGAGGGAAAACACGGCATACAATGGACAGCTCAGAATCAATTAGACGATTTGGACTTCGCAGATGACCTAGCCCTCCTATCACATACACACGAACAGATGCAGATGAAGACAGCCAGTGTAGCAGCAGTCTCTGCATCAGTAGGCCTCAACATACACAAAGGGAAAACCAAGGTCCTCAAATTCAAAGCGGAGAACAGCAATCCAGTCACTCTTGATGGCGAAACTCTGGAAGATGTAGAATCCTTCACATACCTGGGAAGCATCATCGATGAACAAGGAGGTTCAGATTCAGACGTAAAGGCGAGGATTTGCAAAGCAAGGGTCGCATTCCTACAATTGAAGAACATATGGAACTCAAAACAACTTTCAACCAATATCAAAGTGAGAATCTTCAATACGAACGTCAAGGCAGTTCTACTGTATGGAGCTGAAACTTGGAGAACTACAACAGCCGTCATCAAGAAGGTGCAAGTATTTATAAATGGTTGTCTATGCAAGATACTCAGCATCCATTGGCCGAATACAATCAGCAACAGCCTTTTGTGGGAGAGAACAAACCAGCTTCCAGCTGAAGAGGAAATT